TGAAACAAGGGAAAACCCAAAGGAAATCACCACCTTTGTTAGGCCACAACTTATCTAAACACTGCGCCATATGTTTATAACCAAGTGCACAAAATGCATTTTTTTCTCCTCTTTAGAAGAGTATCAGCTCCATTAAGCAAGAGATTTGCCAGCTCTTCAGTGGTTGGTCCAGTGCTACCCTTGTGTGTCTCTTGTCTGGTGCACTCACACTGGTGCAAGCACATACGGTTTGGCGTCCTTAACATTTGCAAGTCACAATAAATGAGAAGCTGGGGTATACAGCGCTTAATAATGCCCGTCTGTTAATTGTGTCTGTCGGAGGTCTTGATTGAGTTGCAGGCAGTGGCGGAGGAGAGCATGGTTTCTCGTGCCAAGAAAGCAACCTTCTAATAATTACAAATAGCCTGTGCAGCAATATAGGTAATACTGGGTTGTGGAAGGGCATGACAGCTGAGCAGTTCTCAAATGGCATGCGGAGTATGACTTTAGCAGCAGTGTGTCCCTTCTTTCTTGTTAGCCACATCGCCTACTCCAGCTTTTTATCATCGGTCTCCTAATTTATTTTTGTTATTATTTATCTTTAATTTGGGGGGAAATTATTACTGTTTTGTAATAAAATGTCAGGAGGGGAAAGCTTTCCCGCCAGAGCCACTATCCTAGGACCGAACTAAAACAGGATGGATCTTGTCTTGGATGATTTCAGTGTGTGGAAAGGTTTTTAAATATAGGCGGATTGGTTAGGAGCAGGTCCCCGGGCTAATGGTACTGTCCAGAACACTGTGGATTCAGAACAACCTTCTTTCTGCCTTCCCTCAGTGCCCAGACACCAAACCAGCTCAGTTTATCATGCTGTTAGCAATTATAGTACAGAGATGTAAGATGTGTTGACTGCAAGACCTTGCTCTGAGATGAGGTGAGATCACCAGGAACAAAATGATCATTACAGGCCATTCATGTCGGCAGCATTTATGCTCCCATGTTTGCTTGCAAGCAAAAACAGCAGCTAATTTGCAAGGCAGCCTTTTGTAAAGAGGCCTTTTGATCAATGATTGCCTGTGTTAATGTTTCAGTAGGCTATTGATTCCTGCAACAGCTTTTGTTCCCTAAATTTATGTGCGATGGGTTTCTGCAGCACACACTATGCATGTTTGATTAAAGTTCAATTGACTTCACTGGAGGTGAAGCCGGGAGCTGTTTCGCTCTCTGTTTGTAGAACCAAAGCTTTCCCGACATGTTCTTTTGTTTGTGTTCAAGCCCCTGCCACCCATGCAGTCACCAAAATGCTGTTGCTAATCCTCCCAGATTCACTCCACTCCATCATTTAATCCTTTAGGTAGACAGACTAGTATTTGATGGCAAGGCAGCTAATATTAAAACCTGGGTTGGAATTTGTCTGCATACATTCCATAAGATTTATAATGTTAAAATCTTACTTCTGTACTTCCTCACTGATACTTAATGCTGGGACTGTGACTGAAGGTTGGGTCATTTTAGTGCATCATGTATCTGAAGCTCCAGAAAGGAATCTTACCTACCGTTCATTAACTCTTGTGATCACCCATTTCTTCAGTCTCAGCTAAGGGAGTCTTTTTGAATAAGCATTTCATTAGTCATTTTAAGACAATCCAATCCATTGCATTAGTAGATGTGTTTGTTAGTGAATGTAAATGTAAGGCTGTCTTGTCGTGGACGGTAGTTGTAGAGGAAGGAAATCACACATGCATATAGATATGTTTGTGCAAATCTTAAAAAACCCACAAATGCTGGAACACCCTGGATCGGGCTCCCAGCTCCAGAAGGAAAGATGATGGCTTGTTACCCAGGGCTACTCCGCTGTTCTCTATTCCCAGAGTAGAGACTCAGGGCTAGAAACTAGAATGTATCCCTGGTACCAAGAGGATTGCAGGATCTTGCTTCCTGTTCTGGAAGGAAGAATGGCTGCTTGATAACACAGGGAGACCCCACTGTGCATCTGCATTGAGCTTAGTACAGTTTAGTGATTAGAGCAAGGGACTGTTACTGCATCTGGCTCTGGCTCAGGCTGTGTCTGCGTGTTAAAACACTACTGCTGTGTTGCTGTAATTGAGGGGTGAGGAACCTTTTTTGAATCGAGGACCACAGACCCACAGAGAAATCAGCTGGGGCCCACATACAAGTGAGATGTCCCTTACAGAGAAGGAGAAAGACACTCCTCACATTCCCTTCACACACCAGAGCTGGGCGGGGGGGAAGAGGAGGCAGGCTAGTCGATTTTGTATACCCCAGTCCTGGGGGTGGGTCACAGGGAGGCTGGAGCACCAATGCCATGGCGCTCCCCAATGTGGGGGCATCTCTGAGCCTCGGGGGCCAGATCCAGGCAATCCAGGGGCTGCATCCAGCCCCCAAGCCTAAGGGTCCCCACCCCTGCTGAGCTCTTCTGTATAGATCAGGGCTACTCAACTTTGGAAGCTCCTGAAGCCACAATGATACTCACAGCACATGCCAAGGGCCGCAACTTTAAGTGTGGTTGTATAGACATGCAAATATATGTGCAAATAGCCTCTTTCACACTGACGGGCATAAACATAAAAATTAAGGCAAGACTATACAACATGCAGGCCCCGTTTAAGTTAGTTCTGCTGATATTAATAAAATGCAGTAGTTACCTGATTTCTACCCATAGGACAGCACTTTTAAAGAGTAATGACAGTCCAGGAACTTAATTACTAAAACACGCATCAGCAGAAGACCATTATATTGACTACTTTTTTGTTTTGGCTCCCACCCGTGGGCCATGTGTTGAGCCCCACGTAAACCCAAACCACACCATGGACCGCAAACAATCAGTCTGCGTGTTGAGAGTAGCCCTGGTATAAATGCTCACTACAAAGTAGCTCTGCTGATGTAAGACTCCAGGGTAGACCAGCCCTTATTCCGGGCAGCTAATTTAAAGTTCCTGAGGCCTGATCTGCGCTAAAGATAAGGTCAACCCAATCAAATTACTCAGGGGTATGAAAAATCCACACACCACCAACCCCAGTGATGCAGTTTAGCTGACCTAACCCTCAATATAGTTAACACCACCACCACTTACTGGGGAGATGAATCACCTTCACAGATGGAAAACTTCTCCCATTGGTGTAGGTAGGGTCTATACTGAAGTGTGACAGCAGTGCAGCTGTAGACAGTGGTGCTGTACTGTTTCAAGTCTAGATAAGCCCTGAGTTGCTATATTTACCAATTGGTATTGAATGAGGATGATACCTGCCTAGTTCACTTTTGGAGACTCTGGAAAAATGAGCATTTTCATGAGGATTTTTGTATCCCACCTGATCTAGGGGCATAGCTATGTTTTTGTCTCATGCACAAAGTGTTGCTCTGAAATTGGTGGGGCTTAGGTGTCATTTCAATATTGGTAAATCTGTGGCAATTGCACCTGCTACCAGTGCAGCTTAACAGTGTATTTGTTCTGTCTGTTATCCGAAGACAAAGTTGTGGTTGTGTAACTTCATCTACTGTTCGCTGTTTTAAGTGAGTCCTGTAACTTTTTAAATAATATCTCCCATATGTCTGCATTGCTTGCAGTGCTGTACACACAGATTATGCTGTTACTGCTTGTTCTGAGCCATTGGAAGTTTTGAGTGAGGAATTTGTCTTGAGTGCAGAGTTAACTCAAGTGATCTATGCTGAGCAAAGACTGAACTATTTAGCCCAGATTGAGAGAGCACAGACTGGCTACGTCTAGACTGGCATGATTTTCCGCAAATGCTTTTAACGGAAAAGTTTTTCCGTTAAAAGCATTTGCGGAAAAGAGCGTCTAGATTGGCATGGACGCTTTTCCGCAAAAGCACTTTTTGCGGAAAAGCGTCCGTGCCAATCTAGATGCGGTTTTGCGCAAGAAAGCCCTGATCGCCATTTTTGCAATTGGGGCTTTTTTGCGCAAAACAATACTGCATTGTCTACACTGGCCCTCTTGCGCAAAAGCTTTTGCCAGAACGGGAGCAGCACAGCATTTCCTCAAGAACACTGACAATCTTACATGAGATCGTCAGTGTTCTTGCATAAATTCAAGCGGTCAGTGTAGACAGCTGGCAAGTTTTTCTTTTGCGGAAAAACTTGCCAGTCTAGACGCAGCCACTGAGGTTACTTGATTAGATCACATATAAGGCAGTTCAAAGAGGCCCTTTTTTGTGGTCAGTAGGCATGTTTGTTCTGATGTTGATTTTCAAGGGGCTAGTTAGAACGTCTCCATTTCTCTGGCAACTTTTACCTCAGAGGCAGATAAGTGGCCAGGAAATGATGGGGTTTTAAAGTTTAAAAAACAAAAAACACCAAAAAAAAAAAGATTAAAACCACATGCTGTTCTTCAACTGCTAGTTTGAATGTCATCAGCTATAGGGTTTTGAATGCAAACCAGATTCATTATGCTATGGAATTATCTCTAGTTTTCCTTGGTGTGCTCCTTTACCTGTCCAATTAATTTGCAAGTAGGCATATATATTCAGATTAAAGTTTAGTTTGGTTGAATATTATGTTTACAGCTTATTCTAATTCATGTTTTTTCCCAACCCTAGTCTTCTATGAGTCCGTGTTTTTATTCTGATATTCAACTTTTCAAACAGGATATCACTATAGAGTTGAACTGATTCCACTTTCACTCAAAGTACCATGGGATCTTTAAAAGGCTAGAGCATGGATTTTTATAACTCGTTGAAGAGATGATACTTCTGAAGTACAGAGCCTACTAACTCTTTGACTCAAAGGAAAGAGCGCCCCCTGCTGAAGCACCAATATCTGCACTTCCTGCAGTATGCAAGTGGTAGCAAGACTTTCCATCCAACTACTAATTTTTTTAAAAATGTGCTTCCCCACTGAAATATCTGTTTCTCTTACATCCAGGGGATTTTTTTCTCACTGAAATATACCTTTAAGCTTGTGTGTGTGTGTGTGTGTGTGTGTGTGTCAGAGACTGACAAGTCAGCTATTCATGCCCCTCTAACACATTCTTTCTATGTTTACAGGGAGAACTAATCACTTTCTATTACTATTGGAAGAAAACCCCTGAAGCAGCAAGTTCCCGAGCCCACCGTAGGCATCGAAGGCAGGCTGTGTTTCGGAGAATTAAGACTCGAACTGCTTCCACTCCAGTCAACACTCCCTCCAGGCCCCCCTCTAGTGAATTCTGTAAGTGGAAGCTAAAAGCAGCACATTTATCTTTGTTTAGATGCATAGAACTGTAGTAATGTAATGGCTGTCTGCCTGTAGCTGAATAAAGCAAGAAAATGGAGTTTAGGCATTTGGTTTCTCCCACTCCACCGTTATGCCTGAGTATAGCAGGCGTCTGTGATCTGCAAGTGATGGTTTTGTACTGTGTGTAATGCAGTGCTTAGGAACGGAGGCCCAGCGTAAGGATGGACACTTGTACCTGGATCTAAATTTCCCTGTGTTTGTTGTAGTTGGTTGTATGTGTTGCATTTTCTCTGGGGTTATTCTAGGAATAACACTGAGAAAAGGCAAGATATAAAGCAAACTTCCCTCTCCAAGCTGCATTTCATGACCATATTTTCTGCTTTATTTCAACTCATGCCATGCTATAGTCAGTGTTGCTGTATCTTCACATATCTTAGGTAGGGATTTTAACGGGTAACTGGTTGCTCTGTACTTGGGGAGCAGTTCCCCACCCACATCACACCACAGGCTACTCCAGCCCTAGGACTGGAAGCAGGCAGAGGGCCAGAAGCAACCAGGCGGAAGCAGCCAGGCTAAAACAGCCCCCACTGCTGCCTGGTTGTTAGTTAAACTTAATGTTTAACCAGTTAACTAATTAAATAGGATTTTACATCCTTAGTGTAAGGCTATGACTGCACTACAGCCTGTGTCGGCATAATTTTAAAAACTACCCTGCATGCCAAAAGTTACACTAACAGCACTCATGTGCATATTGTTGTTTTGTGGGGAGATCTCGCACAAACACAATTTGGGCTGCTTGTGGCACTGGCTTTACTGCACTGCTAGGAGAGCTCTCCTGTCAACATAGACCATCTTCACCAGATGTGCTACAGCTGTATTGGTCCAGCTGTGCTGCTGTAGCACTTTCTCTATAGACATGACCTTAGAAGCTCCATGACCTTGATTGCTCTGGCCTCTAAGTATTGTTTGAGACAAAAGCATCTAAACAGTCTAGCACATCACTATGGGTACGTCTAGACGACATGCCTCTGTCGCCAGAGGCATGTAGATTAGGCTACCAGACATAGGAAAATGAAGCGGCAATTTAAATAATCGCCGCTTCATTTAAATTTACATGGCTGCCGCGCTGAGCCGACAAACAGCTGATCAGCTGTTTGTCAGCTCAGTGCAATAGTCTGGACGCGCGGGTGGCGACATCAAAGGTATTTGTCGACCACCCAGGTATGCCTCCTGGGATGAGGCTGTTGGCTCAGCGCGGCAGCCGTGTAAATTTAAATGAAGCGGCGATTATTTAAATCGCCGCTTCATTTTCCTATGTCTGGTAGCCTAATCTACATGCCTCTGGCGACAGAGGCATGTCGTCTAGACGTACCCATAGTGATGTGCTAGACTGTTTAGATGACCACAGTTACCAGTACAGCTGTAAGGAATATATCACCATACAAAAGACTAAAGATATAATGAGGAATAGTAAGAGAGAGAGGTTAACTTCCTCATGCCAGAAAGTCTCTCTTATTCTTGTTTAGAAAGAAGGGCCCCCACGTTACCATTGGACTCAGGTGGATTGGATTCCTGTGCCCACACAGCCTTTTGCAGTTTCTGTGACCTCTAGGTTCTACCCATTCAAATCCGATTATGAGATTAAGTCCAAAATTAGCTCAGTAAAATGAAAATCTTGTCCTAGCGCAAATTTCACATTCAAGTTTTTGAACACTTCAAGGAATTGAAGTTGGAAAATGTGATAGTGCTAGCAGCCACTGTTGCAGCAACTTAGGTTAATAAGTTGGACCACATGTGCGTTTGTAGAAGGGTATATGGATTGATGACAAATGGTAATGGAAGTTACTGCAGAGACACTCCGTCTACAGAACATGCATGTTATAGTCCTGCACCAAGGACATCTCTTCAGTCTAAAGACTTAAACAAAAGAGGAAACACGTAGTTATTGATATGCATTGCTTTGTGAATTTGTCATGAGTGGCTAGAAAATGCAGTGCCCTCAGCTATAAAAGATTCACTCTGAACTCTTTGCAGAATTCTTTTTGCTTTGAAATATTTTGCTTTGAAATATTCAGATTCTTTCCAGTACACGTAATGTGTGTACTGTGACACTAATGCACTTTTCACAAGTTGGTTATGCTTTTCAGCTGATGAGCATGGTGATCATATGATTTGACATCGACTACTCACTAAACGTGGAGGTGACTTTTGCAATAGTCTTTAGTTCCCAAAAAATGCATTACATAAAATGTACTTCCACCAGAGAATGCACCCTTTAAGAAATGATTACACTGGATTCTTGTGCCTTTGTCCAGATGGATCACAAAGCACTTTACAAATTATATACATGAATCCTTCATCTGTGAATTTCAGCCATCTTTGAGGTGAAACTGTGTTTGAGCACTTTTGTTCAAATATTTAGTTTGAAAGGGACATCCTTGTTGCAGGAACTTACGTATGTTCTGTTGAAGTACAAAACCGTCCCACACAGCCAGTTGAAGACCGGAAGTTTAAAAAAAAAAAAAAACTCTTGTCCAGTTGAAACTGCAAGGGAGGAATTTAGATCTCAGGGGTTGTACCATTTGATTGGAGAATTGCTAATATAGTTCCTGTTTTTAAGAAAGGGGAAAAAAAGCGACCCGGGTAACTATAGGCCTGTTAGTCTGACATCTGTAGTATGCAAGATCTTGGAAAAATTTTTGAAGGAGAAAGTAGTTAGAGACATTGAGGCTAATGGCAATTGGGACAAATTACAACATGGTTTTACAAAAGGTAGATCGTGCCAAACCAACCGGATCTCTTTTTTTGAGAAAGTAACAGATTTTTTTAGATAAAGGAAATGCCTGGATTTTAGTAAGGCATTTGATATAGTACCACATGGGGAATTATTGGTTAAATTGGAAAAGATAGGGATTAATATGAAAGTTGAGAGGTGGATAACCAACTGGTTAAAGGGGAGACTACAGCAGGTCATATTGAAAGGTGAACTGTCAGGTTGGAGGAAGGTTACTAGTGGAGTTCCTCAGGGATCAGTTTTGGGGCCAATTTTATTTAATCTTTTTATCGCTGACCTTGGCACCAAAAGTGGAAGTGTCCTGATAAAGTTTGCGGATGACACAAAGTTGGGAGCTATTGCCAATTCAGAAAAGGATCGGGATATCATACAGGAAGATCTGGATGACCTTGTAAATTGGAGTGATAGCAATAGGATGAAATGTAATAGTGAGAAGTGTAAGGTTATGCATTTAGGGATTAATAACAAGAATTTTAGTCATAAGCTGGGGACACATCAGTTGGAAGTAACAGAGGAGGAGAAGGACCTCGGAGTCCTGGTTGATTATAGTATGGCTATGAGCCGCCATTGTGACATGGCCGTGAAAAAGGCTAATACGGTCTTGGGATGTATTAGGCGAGGTATTTCCAGTAGGGATAAGGAGGTGTTAGTGCCATTGTACAAGGCATTGGTGAGACCCCATTTGGAATACTGTGTGCAGTTCTGGTCTCCCATGTTTAAGAAGGATGAATTCAAACTGGAACAGGTACAAAGAAGGGCCACTAGGATGATCCGAGGAATGGAAAACCTGTCTTATGAAAGGAGACTCAAGGAGCTTGGCTTGTTTACCTTAACCAAAAGAAGGCTGAGGGGGGACATGATTGCACTCTTTAAATATATTAGAGGGATAAATACCAGGGAGGGAGAGGAATTATTTAAGCTTAATACCAATGTGGACACAAGAACAAATGGATATAAACTGGCTAGTAGGAAGTTTAGACTTGAGATTAGACGAAGGTTTCTAAACATTAGAGGAATAAGGTTCTGGAACGGCCTTCCAAGGGAAGTAGTGGGGGCAAAAGATCTATCTGGCTTCAAGATTAAACTAGATGGGTTTATGAAGGGGATGGTTTGATGAGATAACATGATCTTGGTAACTAATTGTCCATTCATTATCAGTGGGAAATAGGTCAATGGAGGGATTATAGGAGTTACTATAAAGAACTTTCTGGGTGTCTGGCTGGTGAGTCTTGCCCACATGCTCAGGGTTTAGCTGATCGCCATATTTGGGGTCGGGAAGGAATTTTCCTCCAGGGTAGATTGGCAGAGGCCCTGGAGGTTTTTCACCTTCCTCTGTAGTGTGGGGCACAGATCACAGCTGGAGGATTCTCTGCATCTTGGGGTCTTCAAAGTATTTGAAGGCTTCAATATCTGAGATATAGGTGAGAGGATTATTCTAGGCGGGGGTGGGTGAGATTCTGTGGCCTGCACTGTGCAGGGGGTCAGACTAGATGATCATAATGGTCCCTTCTGACCTTAAAGTCTATGAGTATTAATATCGGAGATGGAATTTGGCTAGAATCTTGAGGTGAAGATCCCTACTCCGGAAAATTGTCCTGAGACTTAATTGCCAGCAATTATAGAGGCTATCCACTTCCCTCTTCCCCTCCCCCAACATGAAATATAACACCGCTAAAAGAATGGCTAGAATTTTTCGTTGTAAATGGTTATTTAGTCAACTGGTGCAAAATATGAGCGCCTTCTGATTTTAACTTCGTTCTTTGCTTACTCAGTGGACTTGAGCTCAGCCAGCGAAGATGATTTTGACAGCGAGGACAGTGAACAAGAACTGAAGGGTTACGCCTGTCGTCACTGCTTCACAACCAGTATGCACTTACTGTATCTCTTTGCAATATGCTAGTGCCCTTTCAGCATAGCTTCATCGAAGCAAGAACAGTTCACATGCATGTATAGCTGTACTAAAAACATACCATTGGAGCAGCCAAAATATGCCCTATTTTTGTAGAGGGTTACACATAATTTACCATTGCAAATTAGTATTACAAAGTGATGGGGGAATATCCTGGAAGTTAGAAATTTATGTAGCAATGAATGCATGCCTAAACAGAGAGTCCCTTGTATAATCCATTTACTGTATAGCATATCAATATTGAACTGTGGCTGTCAGATACATCACACACATTTATGATGCATCAAGGCTTTTCTGCATCAGCTTCTCTCCTGTAAGTACTCCTGGAAGCCCTCTGATGCTTGTGCATACACACACAGTGCATACTGAGAGCCTGGAGGTAAGTAAGTGAAAGGGGAGATGAATCCAAGACCTTGAAGAAAGAATAGCTGCCAGTGCTGCAGAAGAGTCTTTTTTTCTTTTTCTTTCAAAGTGGCAGGTGCCTGTTTAATTAGAAATAGTCTGTAATTGAGCAGGATGAATGTTAACAGAAACATCAAGTCACCCTGGAAGAGGCAGTGATTTCCAGTCAGCTTTTAAGCTTTGTCAGTAACTGCAGATTGTTTTCCAGATTGTATTAAATGCAAAATGCATGTGTTCAGTATCCAAGAGATTGTCTGTTTCTAACCCCATCCTTTTTCCAACAAAAGCCTCCAAGGACTGGCACCACGGCGGTCGCGAAAACATCTTGCTGTGCACTGACTGCCGCATCCACTTCAAGAAGTACGGAGAGCTCCCACCCATTGAGAAACCAGTGGACCCACCGCCCTTTATGTTCAAGCCTGTCAAAGAGGAAGATGATGGACTCAGCGGAAAACATAGCATGAGGACTAGGCGGAGTCGAGGCTCGGTAGGCCCATTCCTCTTTTTTACCACCGCATTTGAGCTCCTCCCTTAGGGAGAGATGCAGGTTGGAAAATTCCAAATGTAGAGAGCCATATTTGCAAATAGACTTGTAAAGCTTCACTTACAAATGGGAATGTGAAAGAGTAACTGTGTACTGGGTTAACCCATGAGTCTGGGTGCATTGGTTAACCTTCACGGTTGCATACAGGCTTTCAGTATACACACAGGGCTCGTCTACACTGGCCCCTTTTCCGGAAGGGGCATGTAAATTTCACCTATCGTAGTAGGGAAATCCGCGGGGGATTTAAATACCCCCCGCGGCATTTAAATAAAAATGTCCGCCGCTTTTTTCCGGCTTTTAAAAAAGCCGGAAAAGAGCGTCTACACTGGCCCCGATCCTCCGGAAAAAGTGCCCTTTTCCGGAGGAATAAGAGCCTCCGGAAAAGGGCGCTTTTTCCGGAGGATCGGGGCCAGTGTAGACGCTCTTTTCCGGCTTTTTTAAAAGCCGGAAAAAAGCGGCGGACATTTTTATTTAAATGCCGCGGGGGGTATTTAAATCCCCCGCGGATTTCCCTACTACGATAGGTGAAATTTACATGCCCCTTCCGGAAAAGGGGCCAGTGTAGACGTAGCCACAGCGAGTCGCCTTAAAAGCCAGCTTCCTGTGTGTACTGGCTCCCAAGGAGCCTTTCCCCCCACCCCCATGATGTTGTCTCTATATCCAGGCAGCAGTGTGGAGAGGCAGGCCAGAGCCGGTATGCATGGGTAGTCAGTTTAAAAGCCAGCTCCCCACATGCACCAGCTCCTGGGGATCCTCCTCTTCCCTCCCCTACACTGCAGCTGCCTGCTGTCCCACGTGTAACTGCTGAAAATTTCAGCAGTTACATCCTTAATTAAAGGCATTTTAACATCCTTACTTTAATCTCTTCTCTGCCAATCTCATTTTAGGCATGCCTACCATCTGTAAAACAGACACACGTGTGCAATTCCATGTGTGCAGAATAAAGTTTAAATGCTGCTTCTCTTTGTGCTTACCAGAAGTTGCCCCCACATCACTGAAGTTAAAAATCTCATCACCTAACTACAACTATCAGAGTCTTTTACGTAAAAGCATGGTATTCTGTCCCAAAAGACTTTCCTCACAGTAATAGGCTAAGAGCATTGAAATGGAAGCCAAATTACTACTCACCTGGTTGGAGGGGAAACTTCAGCTAGTTTGGGGCTGGCCATCTGTAAACCTGGATTGACTGTTTTAGTCAGACCTGAAAATGTTTCTTTTTACACCAGCCTCCTCTCTCGCCTGTCTGGTCACGTTAATGTTGTCGTTGCTGCCAAACACCTTGTCAGGTTCTGCGGTCAGCTCAAGTTGGCTTCATTATTTTTATGGTAGCCAGTCATCCCAACAGCTGCTAAATTAGGAGGAACAGATGAAACGGCATTAATTATTGCTGCATAATCTACGTGTTTCTCATTGCGCAGCAAAAACACATTGAAGCTGTTAGTGGTTTTAGGAACTGCTCTGTGCTGCCTTGAATGCCTTATTTCTCTAGGTCATTTTCATATCCATCTTGGCTTATGCCAGCAGATTTTTTTTTTTATTAAAGATGGAACATTGGGGGCAGGGAAGTTCTCTTTCCCCCTCCCCCAGTTTCCCAAAAGAGATGCCTAGCATGTGAACAGCAGCTGTGGGAACATCTTTCTAATGTTCTCATTTCCAGCAGACACTACTTAATACAATAAGCAGCACTTAAGTATTTGTCTCCTTTCATTTTAAGGCCAGATGAGCCTTCCAGAAGAGATTGTAAAATCATTTAATGCTCTTGGTTTTCCATTTCTCAGGCACTGAGCTGGAGCTTGCGTCTTTCCAGTAATCGGGGGAAAAGCAAAAGGTTTGGGAGAATCCTTGTTTGTTTATATGCTCTTTATTTGTGTAAAATTGATAGATGTCTACACTACGTAGTGGCCGTAAAAAGCAGCCAGCCAGCCCCGATGGTAGAGCCTCGCCCACTAACGAAGACATCAGATCCAGTGGCCGCAACTCTCCAAGTGCTGCCAGCACCTCCAGTAATGACAGCAAAGCAGATTCTGTGAAGAAATCCACCAAGGTAAAAGTGGCTTGAGATTCATTGTTCTTGGTTCAGGATCTGGACTGTTTTCAATTCAGAGAGTTCAGCTTAGGAACTTCAGAGCAAGTCAGAGACTTGGGGTTGACCTGGGATTTTTTTCTTTCTACATGTACAGCAAGGTAGATGTGGCAGGTCCTTTGTTCAGGTGCTCAGAGCTGTTCTGTATATACATATACAGGCATGATGGTGATTAGAGGAATTTTTTTCATAAATACACAAACTGCATATACTAAAGAAGTGACTGGTCTGCACCTCAGTTTTCCTGTGGTACTGTTTTTCTGAAAGCATATCCACACCTCTGTCATTTTAGACTTTCAGTAGGCATATAAAGACCTTCACAAGAAGTTACTAAAGAAACAAAATAGGCATAGGGCAAAGAAGCATGGGACATCTTGATGAACTGAAAACTGGCAGACACACAACAGAGAAGACATAAGTGGTCAGTTTTCATCATGGCAGAAGGTTGACAGCAGAGTGACTTCAGGTTCTGGGACTGGTGGTGTTTACCATATTTATCTGGAGTCTAGAAAAGTGAGTGAGAGGAAAAGGTGGCAAAATTTGCAGGAGGTACAAAGTCAAGTCCAGAGAAGAGTGCGAGGAACTTCAAATGGACTAACCCCACCAGGTGAACAAGCAACACAATGATAGCTGAAATTCAGTGTTGTTGATTGCAAAATAATGTACTACTGGAGAGAGAATATGAAGCAGTCATGCACCTTAGAGTTCTTAATTAAGCATGTCAACTCAGAAAAGGGGCTTGGGCATTAATTTAGACAGCACTTTGAAGATCTCTGGTCAATGGACTGCTGCACTCAGGAAACAAACTGTGTTATTAGACTTAAGGAATGGGATGCAGAATCATACCATAAATCTAATGCCATTATATGAATCAATGATGCTTCCTCATCTGAAATGTCACCCTGTCTCAAAAGAACATTGCAGAATTAGAGGGAATTCAGAGTAGGCCGACAGGAATGACACAAAAAATCTTAGAGAGAGGTTGAAAGATTATGATTTAGAAAGGAGAAAGGGCAGGATAGAAGTACATGACGTAATTGATAATCTAGAGAAGGTAGGTGCGGGAACATCTGTTCTTGCCTCATAACACACAAACTTTGGGAGCAGTCAGTGAAATTAAATTGAAAAGTGGAATTAAATTGAAAAGTGGGAGGTTGAAAACCGATGAAATATTTTTCATACTTGGTAATCAGACGGTGGAACTCATTGCCATATGATATTGACACTGAGAACTTTAGCCAGATTCCAAGAGAACAAACATTTCTGAGAAGAAGATGAATATTGACTATTACAGCTCATGCTAACAAAAGTGTTGGAAAGGATATGAGAATTCACATTTCCAGGCATTACCTAGTCTCTAACTACATGGGGCTAGAATGAGACTTTTATGGGGGCACCAATTATCCTACATTTCTCTGCTGCAGGATTCATGCACCATCCTCTGAAGATTCTGGTGCTGGCCAGGATAGACAGAGAACATTGGATTAGACAGATCTTGGGTCTGATCCAGTGAGACAGTTTATATGGGACTTCTTCTGACATTTAAGCCTTAACAAATCTAGGGCTTAGGATCAGCAATTTCCCTTTAAAAATATTCCTAATTAGAAATCTGAGATTTAAATAATAATGCCTTGATAAAGGTTGCATTTGGGTTGTCCATTTACTCCCACCTATATACTGAATGCTGTGAGGGATTTGCTTACAAGCTGTCTCCTAACTTGCTGTTCCCAGCGGCAAAACCATAACTCCATTCTGGGCCCTGAGTTAAATTTGGCCATGCACGCCTACTGGGAACAGCTTCTAGCAGATGGGAAGTGCCTCAGCAGCTCCAGAACCAGATGCCTCCCCTCCTCTTCAAACTGGGGGATGAGGCATATTGGATTGCCATTAAATACTCACTAAATCAACCTCTGATAAGTTTTCCTTCGCCATAGGAACTCTCCTGTGTTGCTCGTGTCAGTATGAAGTCTCTCCGTATGAGTAAGTGCTCCATTTAGCATCACTTAACTTCGCTAACAAACTGCTTCTGTCTGTTTCTTTTATGGTAGAAGATAAAAGAAGAGGCATCTTCTCCTCTCAAGAGTTCCAAGCGCCAGCGGGAAAAGACAGCCTCAGACACCGAGGAACCTGAGAGAACCAATGTCAAAAAATCCAAAACACAAGTGAGTCCCTGTGGCAGAGCAACAGTCCTGCCTGTTCCCCTCTGATCGGGATGTGCACACCACTGGGGGCTAAAATCATCTGCTCCCCCTCCCTCCAGGGCAGAGAGAATCTAAAATCCAAATCCCACAACAAACCATAAACGTAACATGGATTAGAACAGCTTCAAAGTGCCAGAACAGCACATTCTAATTGAATCTGTGGCTGGAAGCAGCACACTTCTGAAGGATGTGGGTAGGCACCAACGCCCAGGCCTCCTTCGCATTAATATCTCTAGGGTTCAAGCACAGTTTGATTTTAGCTTTTTTTCTTTAACCCATGTCCACATTTTATTTCAATGCCAATTTTTTCTCTTCTTGGCATCTCTCAGTAACATACTGTCATAGGGTGGACACTCACTGCCACGGTGCCTTCTGCAGGTAGCATTGGGAATTAGCTTGGAAGCAGGGCGCCTCCCTCTGGCAGGTGTCCCTGTGTCCTCACTGCACGCTCTCCATTCTGGACCCATGTCATTCCCGGACCAGAGTGTCCCCTTCGGGACACTGTCCTCTGGCAGTGCCCACTCCAGTATCTCTCGGCCCCCTTCCGGGGATCGGGAGTCCTGTCTCTGCACTGTGGGGTCCTCCCCTCCTGCAGAACCCCCAATTCCCCTATATCCACTTTGCCTCAGTAACCCGCTGCCAGTCTTCATCTAGTCCCTGCCTGAGGGGCAAACTGCAGTCTGGAATGGTCATTCATCATTGGCAAGGGGGGGTGTGCCCCCCTGCAGCCCTAGAACCCTCAGGCCTTGCCTCAGGCCTTGCAGCCTGGGAGTGGGGTCAGGCCAGAGCACTCCAGCTCTGCCTGCCTTTTCGCTGCACTGCCCTGCCCTGTCTCAGGAAGCCTCTAGCTTCCCTCCAGCCAGATCCCCCCTGCTCCCCAGCAAGAGTGTTTCCTTTCTGCTCTCCTGGAGCCCTTACTTATACAGCCCACAGCTGGGCCCTAATTGGCAATATCAGCCTCAGCTTTGGGCTTTGCGGGACGCCCTCTCCCAGGGCTGGGTTTTAACCTTAAAGGGCCTGTGTGGGGCAGACGCCCCATCACGCATACAAATGATCCCAAGTCAGCAAAAGGAAAGTCCTCTTCACATAGGTCTAAAATTCACGAGTCCTTGGCTGCAGTAGCCCTAACAGAGCGCAATGTAACTGAACAAATGTTAAACCAGTTAAATCTGTGATTGTCGATTTAGTGCATGGTATTTAGTCCATTTGTAATTGGCCAGGTTTACCCCCTACCATGGCATCTAGGATTTCTAGACCTCAGTCTTCCATGCTGGCATCCACTGTTCCACAGGGTTTACTTACGCTGAAAGCTCTGGGGAGGCTGTGCTGCAAGGTGGCCTGTAACGAGGGGTGTCTGGAGTTAGGCTGGAGGTGCCAGTGGGAGCAGGTAGCTCACTTTAGCCACATCAGTGATGACAGAGATCTTTCCCCCATGTCAACAGGAGATCAGCAGGCCAGACTCTCCTTCGGAGGGAGAGGGCGAGGGCGAAAGCTCAGACAGTCGCAGCGTCAATGACGACGGGAGCAGCGATCCAAAGGACATTGACCAGGACAACCGAAGCACTTCACCCAGTATCCCCAGCCCCCAGGACAATGAAAGTGACTCAGATTCGTCTGCTCAGCAGCAAATGCTGCAGGCACAACCTCAAGTGCTCCAGGCACAGAATGTCCCTGCCCAGGCTCCACCTTCTACCCCGCCCGTATCAGCACAGTTACCAACTCCGTTACCAGCAGCCTCCAGCACCCCAACAGCGCCCCTACAGGTTTCTCCATCAGTGTCTCAGCCTCCCAGCCAGCCCCCCCCACCACCACCACCTCACTCGCACATCCAACAGGCCCCTGCTTTACACCCTCAGAGGCTCCCTTCACCGCACCCACCACTTCAGCCTTTGACTGTGCCTCAGAGTCAGCCCCAGGTTCCTGCCTCATCGCAGCCACATTCACAGCCTCCGCTTCATGGCCAGGTCCAGCCTGCCAAAGTGACTCAGATTCGTCTGCTCAGCAGCAAATGCTGCAGGCACAACCTCAAGTGCTCCAGGCACAGAATGTCCCTGCCCAGGCTCCACCTTCTACCCCGCCCGTATCAGCACAGTTACCAACTCCGTTACCAGCAGCCTCCAGCACCCCAACAGCGCCCCTACAGGTTTCTCCATCAGTGTCTCAGCCTCCCAGCCAGCCCCCCCCACCACCACCACCTCACTCGCACATCCAACAGGCCCCTGCTTTACACCCTCAGAGGCTCCCTTCACCGCACCCACCACTTCAGCCTTTGACTGTGCCTCAGAGTCAGCCCCAGGTTCCTGCCTCATCGCAGTCACATTCACAGCCTCCGCTTCATGGCCAGGTCCAGCCTGTCCCTCACAACCTGCAGGCCCAGCCCCTCCTGCCTCATCCGGTACCACCTCAGCCCTTCCCTCTCCCCTCACAGCCTTCTCAGTCTCAGGTTCCCCTTCAGACGCAGGCTACTGCTCACCCTCATGCTGCTCTGCAGGTTCAAGCAGCGCAGCCTGCCCTGCAAGCTCAGGCTCCACTCCAGCAACCTCAGCCCCCCCGGGAACAGCCCCTGCCTCCTGCACCCATGGCTATGCCTCATATCAAACCCCCTCCTACTACCCCAATCCCTCAGCTTCCTACTCCACAGGCCCACAAGCACCCTCCCCACCTCTCTGGGCCTTCTCCATTCTCCATGAACTCCAACCTGCCACCACCACCTGCTCTGAAGCCTCTGAGCTCCCTTTCTACTCATCACCCTCCTTCAGCACACCCTCCTCCCTTGCAGCTGATGCCTCAGAGTCAGCCGCTGCAGTCTTCTCCAGCCCAGCCTCCAGTCCTGACTCAGAGTCAGAATCTTCCAGCAGCGGCGAGCCACCCCCCATCCAGTCTCCATCAGGTATCCTCCCAGGCACCCTTTTCTCAGCATCCATTTGTCCCTGGGGGCCCACCTTCCATCACCCCTCCATCTTGCCCCTCCACTTCTACGCCACCTTCCGTGCCTGGTGTCCCGTCTCAGACATCTGTCCCCACCTCTGCGGCTTCCAGTGGAAACGTTCCAGTGGTGACATCCTGCGCGATACCACCTATTCAGATCAAAGAGGAGGCTCCCGATGAGACGGAGGAACCGGAAAGCCCACCTCCTCCACCCAGAAGCCCATCACCTGAGCCTACTGTGGTGGACACACCAAGTCATGCCAGTCAATCAGCCAGGTATGGAGAGTGGGTGTTGGCACATTTTTCATTCGATGCTCTGCCATTGACATGGCTGCGTTCAGAGTTTCACTGTTTGCTGGCTGGCGTAGCCAGCAGGGATTGAGTATTATAGTCTTGACCACTGTGGAATTGGGAATTAGGTCCACTACAGCCTCTGTTTGCCAGCCACTTGTGCAATAGGATGGTTGTCTGAGTGAGTCCACACTGGTTGAAATTGTGCTAGCATCTGTTGGAACAGTTGTTACTAGCATAGTCTACAGAACCCAACATTCAAGTTATAAATCACTTGTAGGTAAGAACCTGTGCCCCTTTCCCTCTAAACTTGCAGCAGGGTCCTATGAACTGCATAACAGGAACTCTGGAATTAAGCACGTTTCCCCCCAAAGCTTACTGCTCTCCTGACACAGCACAGAATCCCGTTCGTTTCTGCAGGGTTTTCTACTTTGCCCTCTAATATTCAGTCTCCAGCTTGCAGCATGTTTTTGTGCTAAAAAACGTGGCTCTTTCAGTTGCGTGGATGAAGCTTTCAGGGCAGGTTTCCAAAGATACAAAGGGGAGTTGGGCAGTGTGGGCATTGGGTGTGTCTCTCCCACTTGTGTCTTGGGAAATCTCCCCTAACTCTGGCACCATTTTTCAGGGAATGAAAGCCCCTTATCCAGCCCAGGTGCAGCCATAGTATTCAGACTGATATTGCAGGTACCATCTGAGAGCGATCCCTCTGCACAGTGGTTCTCAAACTGCAGTCCAGGTGGTCCTGCAGCTTGAGCTCAGCCCCTCGCCTTCCCCTGGCAGTGGGGAGCCAGTGCTGGCACTCAAGCCTCATCCTCCCTCCCCTGCGAGATTGGAGCACCAGTGGCAGCTTCCTGCTTGGAGGGCTGAGAGGGGAGAGAAAGCTCCGAGCCTCGCTTGCCTGATCCAGCTCACAGGGAAGCAGCACTCCCCCTTCTCCTTCCTCTCCCCTGGCTGAGCAGCGCGCAGGCATGCTGCCTAGAGGCTTTGGACTGGAGTCCCTTTGGAGCAGCGGGAGGCAGAGCCTGGAAGCGGCATGAGGCACAAAGTCAACTAAGTGCCCAGACCCTTGCACCCCAGGCCACTCATACACACACACCCCTGCCGAGACCCCGCACCTCCAGCCTGCTCCTGCACCCTTCCCCCTGGCCAGGCACCACCTCCTGCCCAGATCCTGCACCTCTTGCTGGAAGCCCTGTCCCTCATTCTCAACTCCTCATTTTTGTCCCAACCCCAGAGCCGGGGGTTGTGGGGGGGGTGTCCACTAACCCTGGAACCCCAGAAGCCTGCTCCTGTATCCACCCTTGCTCCTGCACCCTTCCTCCTTTCCAGACACCCTACTCCCAGCCTGCACCTGCACCCTACCTCCCATCCAGACTTCACCCCCTCCTACACCCTACCTCCTCCCCAGATCCTGCACCTCTTGCTGGAAGCCCTGTCCCTCATTCTCAACTCCTCATTTTTGTCCCAACTCCAGAGCCTGGGGCGGGTTCACTAACCTTGGAACCCCAGAAAAGTAAATCTGGCCTATGGGAAGCCCTGAACGTCAGTCCTCCCTGTTCCTCCCCTGGTGGGGCTGGAGCCTCAGAGGAGTGAAGTGTCTCAGTTTGGGGGGGGGGTCACATCAGTGAGGGCTGTTTTTTTTTTTTCTTTTTTCTGAGAGTCAATGGCCCCTGACCCAAAAAAGGTTCCCTGCTCCTACCATAAAAAAAGAAAACATGGGACCTTTGTGTGGGACATAAATACATATTTTACTTTAATTTAAATGAGGTTTGATAAACTAACATGATAAAGTTAAGTGTTTAATCTGTTTAATAATTTCAATTAATATTTCCTTTCTTACTGGTTAAACCATTCTCCCCAGCTGCAGCACTAGCAAAATGGCTTGGGCGTCATTATGTGATTAACAGCGAGTTTCCATTAGCAACTGGCAGTCCACGGAAAGGTTTACATTGGCAACTGGCCAAAAAGTTTGAGAACCACTGCACTGGAAGGCCAGCCTGTGGAGACACAACACCACAGTTAAAGTTAGTTTTCCTGGTTCTCAGTGCAGTACCTGGTAATGTGAACCCCAAGTCTTGTATAATTCTCCTTTGATGTGAAGCTGTCAGATCACAGACTCTTGGTCTTTCCCAGGCCCAGAGGTGGATTAGAGGTTTTTAGGGTCCTGGGCAAGAGCAAGGGGTAGCCCTTTCCCACTTCTTCTGCCCGGAGTCCCTCACACTCCTGAGAGCTTCTGGCAAGACAGTGGCCTCAGGGTGCAGGGGCTTCCCTCACTCCCCAGCGGCGTGCTGGGCAGGCAGAGTGGGTGAAGCCCCAATGGCCTGACCCCACTTCCCAGCAGAAGTGCCAGGTAAGTAGCTTAGGGCGTGTGGGTGCCCATTTTTCCAGGGGCCCCCCAGTTGGGACCTCATTGGTCCAGTGGCTAATCTGCCACTGCCCAAGCCTCTAACTCTATTTTCTCTTTCAGGTTCTATAAGCACCTGGACCGTGGCTACAACTCCTGCGCAAGGACAGACCTGTACTTCATGCCTCTGGCAGGATCCAAGCTGGCCAAGAAGAGGGAGGAGGCAATTGAGAAGGCCAAGAGGGAGGCGGAGCAGAGAGGAAGAGAGGAGAGGGAAGAGAGAGCGGGAGCGGGAAAGAGAAGCAGAAAGAGCAGCGGTAGGTTTATCAACCTGCTATGCAAGATGTGTTCATATCTGTATTAAATAGTGACTGTAAGACGTTGGGGATGCATTTGCAAATCTCCATCAGAGCTTATTCCAGACACAAGCATGGCATGGAAGGGGAAGACAGGTGCATGCAAAGCACGTGCGCAGTGGAAAGGTCTGCAAGCAATGTTCCCTTTTAGCTGAGCACTTGTGCCTCCACTCGGTAGAGTTTCCAATGCCACCCAGCTGATTAGCAGAGTGCCCACAGCCAGGTTTTTTGTTTCTACTGGTGGTGCGCATTCACACATGCTGCAGTGCACTTAAAATTATTCTGCACATGAATGGAAACAATTTGAGGGAACATCAGTTGCAAGGAAATGTTTTGGGTTATGAGCGTGCCATATCTAGCTTATACCTGTCCCGTCCTACACTGGCCCTGCCCCTTGCTCCAGACCTCCCCTCAGTGGAACAGCAGGTTAAGCGATACCAAAGTGTCAAAGAACAGTAAATATCTATTGGTGAATATTATTGGTTCCGTTTGTGCTGTAGGCACAGAATGCCTGAGTGTACTTTGAGTGTCCTTTACCTGCTGCATGATGTACCATTTCAGGGAGCTCCCTGAAAGGGGTGGGGTGAAGGCATTGTACCCTTGAAGTGGGTTTGACTGAAGAACACCTAATTTTCTTCGGGGCGCCCCAACTCTCTAATTCAAACTTTTACGCTAATTTCTAAGTTTTGGGTTTTTTTTAATTTACTTGGAATTTAAGAGCTGTGGCATAGGCAGAGAGACTGGTCATAATGGCCATGTGACAATACTGCCTTCCTGTTTTAATTGAAAAACACTGCACTACAGTCTTTTTTTAATTGTTTTTAACCAAACTTTTTAAAAAAGGTTTGCAATAGTTTGCAGTGGAAGATGCCTACACTCTTCCAGTCCCTGCACCTGGAAAGGCAGAATGTAGTCCTCCTCCAACAGGAGCAATGTAGTCCTCCTCCAATAGGAGCTGATACTGAAGTTGATATTTACACATAAGCTGTATTTGGAGGCAGGATTCCATAGATGATGACACTGGGGTGAATCCCGTCTCTGCCCAGAACTGTTGCGTGGCCTTTGCACCCGTGCTGGGAGCAGGATGTTGAGACCTAGTGCAGGAGGCGAGAGCCTCCCCCTGCCCATGCGATGCAGTTTGCTCAATCGTAGTGCATGTTGGGGGAGGCTTTGGGGCGAAAGCTGTGGGTCCGTGGCTACGATTCCCTAGCAGCTATGCCCCAGAGTGGGGTGTAAGAGCTGCAGCTGTTAGACCTCTGAAGTGCGGTGCCAGTATTGAGCTCAGTAGCCTGCAGGGGAAGAGAGAAGGAGTTTTCCCCATGCGAGAAGAGAACGCCCTGCACGAGGCCTAGTATCTATCGGTGGCAGAGGTGTAGGGTTATCCCCATAGTGACATGCAGGGAAAGGGGGAATGTGCCTGCAACTTTTTCAGCCAGATTTGTACTAAAATCTCTTCCCTTCTCCTCACATTCTCTGCAGCAGAAAGTGTCCAGCTCTTCCCATGAAGGTCGCCTAGGGGAACCGCCACTCAGCGGGCCAGCTCACATGAGACCATCCTTTGAACCTCCACCCACAACCATCGCTGCTGTTCCACCTTACATAGGTCCAGACACACCTGCGTTACGGACTCTCAGCGAGTACGCCCGTCCTCACGTGATGTCCCCGACAAACCGCAACCACCCCTTCTTTGTCCCCCTGAACCCTGCCGACCCACTTCTGGCCTACCACATGCCCGGCCTCTATAACGTGGACCCCACCATTCGGGAACGGGAGCTCCGGGAGCGGGAAATCCGGGAGCGGGAGATCAGGGAAAGGGAGTTGCGAGAGAGGATGAAACCAGGCTTTGAGGTGAAGCCACCTGAACTAGATGCACTGCACCCAGCGACCAACCCCATGGAGCATTTTGCTAGGCATGGCGCACTGACTATACCCCCAACGGCAGGGCCCCACCCATTTGCTTCCTTCCATCCGGGTTTGAACCCTCTTGAAAGGGAGAGACTTGCGCTGGCAGGCCCACAGTTACGGCCTGAAATGAGCTACCCGGACAGACTGGCAGCAGAAAGAATACATGCCGAGCGGATGGCATCGCTCACCAATGACCCACTGGCACGGCTCCAGATGTTCAACGTGACGCCTCACCATCACCAGCATTCACATATCCATTCGCATCTGCACCTCCATCAGCAGGACCCGCTGCATCAAGGTGAGCACAGGGAGCTGTTCTCCAGGGACGCTGGTGTCTGCTCTCCCTGTGAGATTGTAGAATCACAGGGCTGGAAGGAACCTTGAGAGGTTGTCCAGTCCCCTGCGCTGAGGCAGGACTAAGTAAACCTAGACCATCCCCAATAGATTTCTTTTACCTGTTCCTAAAAACCTGCCATGATGTGGATCCCACAGCTTGGCTTAGAAGCCTATTCCAGAGCCATAAAGTTTTTCTAATATCTAGCCTAGATCTTATTTTCTGCAGATTAAGCCTGTTGGTTCTTATCCTACTTTTGGGTGGACATAAAAAGCTGACCCCCTCCTATAGATCATATTTCTTATATTTTAAGACTGTCAAGTTGTTCTTTGGTGGTCTTTTCTCAAGGCTAAACACGCCGAGTTTTCTTAACCTTTCCTCAATGGTCAGGTTTTCTGAATCTTTTAAACATTTTTGCTGTTCTTCTCTAAACTCTACAGTTTGTCTGCTTCTTTACTAAATTGTACCGTGCAGAATTAGACACAGGCACTCCAGCTGAGCCCAATCTAGCGCTGAGTAGAGCAGGACAAATACCTGGCATGTCTTACGTACCGCATGTCTGCTAATACACTTCAGAATATTAGCTTTTTTGCAAAGAGATCACATAGTTAATTCATGCTTAATTTGTGATGAACTATAACCTGCAGTTTACCACCTGTCCAGTTACTCCTTGTTTTGTAGTTGAGTGTTTGATTTTTTTTCCCCTTCCTGTGCGTAGTACTCTGCACGAATCTTTATTTAATTTCGTTTTACCGATTTCAGATTATTTGTCAAGGTTGTTCTGAATTTTAATGCGTTCCTCTAACATGCTTGCAACCCCTCTCATCTACATATTTTACGAGCATACTTTCTACTCCATTGTCCAATTCATTAATCAAATAGCACCAGGTCCATGAGCTATCTGCCCAAATCATGGGGTCATATCCCATGGCTCAGGAACAATGCAAAATATAACCTCCAGCCATGTCGGCATGGCCGCTGTACCCAGGTCTATACAAGGTTGTGACATTTAGGTGTGACCCCACCTTGGAATGACATTGCTTTCTCTGTACCGTCTGGATGAAAAAATAGTTATAATTGTGTTTGATCTCTTCCAGACACCTGCTTTTTCCTGTCCTCACAGGCACAGGAAAACCACATCACAATGCAGCTGGGGCACAGCCATGTTTAAGTAATAGGATTATTTTTGTATTTTAGGCATTTCGTCTCTGTATAGATGACGCAGGCCTCCCTTGTAATAATCTTGGCATTTTAAACCCACATATTTCACGCTTCCCTGTACTGGGATTGGTTGAGCTCGTTGCTGAGCACAGGGAAAATTTTCAGCAGCCAGTAACTCACTTCACATGTTAAGGCCTTGTCCAAAATTCTCCCTCTCTTGATCTGAACCTGGTGCAGGCCAGGTAGTGGCACAGTAGTGTAGACTGAATGCAGGCTCTTGTCAGATCACACAGGTATACCTGTGTATCCAGCTTAGTCATCCATAGCCTGGTGTGTACACCAGTGAGAGTTAGGGAGGGGCTCACTAGTCAGGCTGTCTCAGGCTGCAAAATTGGAGAGTTTGAGTTGTTCAGCCAGAGTGTGAATCTAAAACTGTTGGTTACTAAAATATTGAATGACAACAGTGAGGGAAAGTGTCGAGGGTGCGATGTGTGCACTTTGTGTACTAGGGATGTAAGCAACTAGTCTAGTCAACTTAGCGACAAAACAATGAAAGCGTTTTCACTCCAATGTGACTTTTATCCGGGGACACACACACCCACATTTGGCAACAAAAAACTTCCACATCTCTTCAAGAGACTTTTGTCTTTTTCTCTCCCCTTATTGTTGACAAAGAGCCAGTGTGGACTCTTGTTTGTTTTGTTTTGTTGAGAGAACTAGCTTCTGCCAGTATCCCAAGTCTGCCCTGATGGCTGGGCTCAGTGTTTTGTGTTCTCTGCTGCCCTGTGGGCATGCGCCCCCCTCCTCTTTCAAAGCTTCTGGAAGTATGTAACTACTGAGTGAGCTGCTCCCTTTGGCCAACAAACCACAAATCATTGGAATGCTTCTGATCTACTGCGGCAGGGAGAGGGCTGGAAAGACAGCTGTGTGCTTTGACATTGCTTAGCGTGGAGAGCTCACAGAACTATGAGGGAATGCCCAGGAGTCGACTCTGCCTGCCCACAACACTGTACTGTGGGATGTTGACAGTGGGAGGCAGAAAAGCTGGTTTGACCATTTTTCACTTTTGGCAACTTTGCATTTTGACAGCACTTTTGTTGCCCGTCCTTCCCAGCCAGCTACTTGAGAGAATTTACAGTTCCTCCTCTGAGCCCTGGCCCTCCCTTCCAGTGTCCAGTTGACAGCCATGGCCATCCCTGATGCTTCAGATGAAGGGGGAAAAAACCCACACCCCAGAATGCACTGGGGGTGAGGGCAGAAAGGAGAGTTACATGCTTACTATCTTGGTAGGTTTTGGGTAGAGGTTACATATCTTCCCTCATCTCATCCCTGTAGAGCAGCATTTCCCAACCTATGAGTCGGGACCCAAATATGGGTCGCCATTACATTTCAAAAGGGTCACCAAGTGTCTCCCCAGGCGGCCCTGCCCTCCCTCCATTTTTGAATTGCCTTGGGTCACCAAGTCTTCCTGAATTGTCAAAATGAGTCCCCACCTGGAAAAGGTTGGGAACCGCTGCTGTAGAGGGAAGGCGCCAAGGCTCTGGGCATGTCTGCATCGCAGACCAAGGTGTAATTCTGGTACAGGCAGGCACCCATCCTAGTGCAGGTGACTACAATAATGAAGATATGATAGTCCAGACTTGCTGCCTCAGTACAAGCCCACCAAGAACCTTGGGAAGTCAATGCCACCACACCTATACTACTGTTACCAGTGCTAGCTTGGCTGGGTGTGCCTACCTCTGCTACTGAAATACGTGATCTGCAAGGTAGACCTACCCTCTGGCCCTTTTGTTGACAGATCCCTTTATCTCTCATTCATCTATTTGTTTTGACTGTCAACACCATAACTTCCTAGTTCTGACTACATATCTACAAATCTGACATCTGTTAGTTGTTACCACTTCACCCTTCTGCCCCTTTGGCACTTACCAGTACATACTTTACATCCAGTTTCAGTGCAGTCCTAGTATCTCGTGAATATAATGCAAAACCTCTGCACAGATCAGGGAAACTGGCAGTCTCTACTGAGGAGTACCCAGGCCTGGATGTTGCAATGTGAGATTGCAGGGCCCCTGTAGTGCACCTCCTCCTCACTTCGACTCAGTCTCTGTGCAGGGCCTGAAGAGTGCAGGCAAAGTTGCCACATGCGGATGTTTCTGCATCTCCTACATGCCATAGAAAGGGGACTTTTGCCGTGGCCATTTAGAGACACAGAACTCCATTGGGTGAGGGGAACAGGGCCCTTGAAATGCATGGTTCTGCAGATCCTTGTTATCCTGATATCCTGTGCTACAGGAAGGGGGGCTGAGGCTGCTGTTCCAGGCAGTCTTTAGTAGTAGCATCAGTGAAAAGGGCATGGGGGGTAGATTTTACCTCTTCAGCCTTTGTGCACTGCTAGAGCTCTCTTGGGCCTCGTGCAACTGGAATAGGCTTTGGCCATGTCTGCACTACCACTTTACTGCACTGAAACTTCCTCACTCGGGTGTGAAAAAACACACCGTGAGCGCAGCAAGTTACGATGCTGTAAAGTGGGAGTGTGAACAGGCTTCCTAGCACTGTTAGCTACCCCCCTCATTTAGATAATTGACCTCCAGCTCTGGCTGAGCTCTCTGCCTCCGCTGGCACTATGGACAGCCTTTCACTTTAAATGTTTAACGTGTAAATTTAGCTGTTCTTGCACTGTTGTTATCCGAAAGCTCTTCAGTCTAAGCTTGGCGGCCTTCCTCGTTAGACTGTGCTTAGTTCTAAAATGTTGTTTTTATAGCCCCAGAAATGATTGGTGCAATAACTTAGCATCTTGTTAGGTGTCAAGATGAAGCGACAGGAAAGTCACTCATTTGGCTGAGGAGCTGTGGGTGATTGGGAAGATGGGTCATCAAAACAAGATTGCCACGTTTTCTGATGCAAACTGGTGGAGAAAGGTTAAAAAAAGGCACCAAATAATTCAGCAGCAAGGTCAGGAGTGAAAGCGATTCAAGTACATGCTGTACAGTCCCTGGGACAAATGTACTTGTGCAAGCAAATATAGCATAATGAGTCGTGGAGCGTGTGTATTAAAAATAGCTCATGTCTCTGTTTCCTGGGTTAGGAAGGGAATTTGAGAGCTATTGCAGAAAGAGCCAGAGTGCGCATCAAAGAAGGCAAAGGATACACAGTTGTATTTTGATGGCAATGTATCTGTGAGATGGTAGCTTGGATGCAGTATATAGGTGCACTACTAAATGGAACTTGCACAGTGTTTGATTTGCTCTGGAGGGCATAGGATGGACTGCACCAAATGTCAAGTCTTACGGATTGTAAAGGGGCAGGATGGGCACAGGATGAACTGAAGTTTGGCAGATGATTAATAGGGTTGATTGAAGTTGACTTCATACCTCCGGACGCTTGTGTAATGAATATGGTCACTTTTAAAAAAGAAAGACGTGCCTGAGAGAGAACGTTTCTACACACGGTTTTTATCTCCAGTTAATTGATTGCTAACACATTTGTGAAGGCCAGGGTGGACACTTGACAGATGTTTGTTCCAGGACACTCATGTTTCCTGCAGGCCCAGCTGTTTACACCAGCCTTTACAAACACGTTCTCTGCCTCAAGTCGATGGGCAGTCCACTCACTCAAGCTGGAAGACTCTGGTGTGCCCACAGAGGGCAGTGATGCTGTTGAGTGAGTCACTGAAATGGGGGAATCACTGAAGCAATATGCTCCGGGGAGGGAAGGGGGGGCACCATTTCTGAATTAAGAACTTAGCTGCTCAAGGAAGGAAGGAGAAGCAGGGGGCCAATCTGAGTGATGGGCAGCCTTGACATAGTTATCGTATTGCACTGTTCTTACAGGCTTGCACAGGGATGAGCTTAAAAACAGGAGGAGGAGGATTGATATTGAAATGGCCAAGGGAGACCATCCCACGGTGTTCAGCTCCCAGCTGGGTGCAAATTGTGTTCCTGTCCCATGCTTTCTGCTAATATGCAATCTCCATGCAAACTTCCAGCGGATTAAGTGCAGGGGATTTGCCACATGCCGATGGATAAAATATTTTCATGGTTTCATCAGTATGAAGTTTTCATCCTCTTAGTGAAGTGACTTTAGAGGAATTGCCTCCAAGTGGGAACAAAAAAGAAGGGGGTGATCGGTTCTCTTTTGTACCAGACTGGCAGCTCCCTGTAGCAAACACTGTCTGCTTTGGGGAATGGAGGGTTTGAGAGCTTCCTGTCTGTCCAAAGCAGTATTATGAGGTTGCTCCGTAGTTAAGTCCTTCTGACCCGAGGATTGTCACTGATCCTTTGACTTGTACTTATTTGCTAGAGGAAGGCAAGAAAATATTTACAGATAAGTTTTCTTATAAAACTCTGAAAAGCTGAGCTTTGCATTAGAATCTTGGTTTACCTGTCTTAGCGTGAGAGTGTGTAGGGTGAAAGAGGAGGCTACTTAAAATGAATGTTTGAGTGGTTTTGCCATTTGATTTTTTTCCTATCACTTGGCAGATTTATTTGTCCTTGTTGAAACTGAAAGGCCCGGGTTGTTACTTTAACAATTAAGACTGTTTGACAAGCAGATATCACTTCAGACACTTGAAGATAGAGAAGTGGGCTTCAAGTTAGATGGAGCTAAGCTCCAGATAATTACACACCAATTAAGTCAGATACTGCACGAGCTCAAGTGGAATCATAGCTTTTGTTCCTCAGCCAGGGAGGCTTCCCCAAGCAGTTGGTTACCTTCCTTTTTGTCATCTTTTCTAG